ATTCCTCAGACGACATGTCCATCCTGGGCCTCCTGCAGTGCCACAACAATGCCATCCGAAGGTTGCAGGAACAGCAACTCATATTCCGCTTGGGAACCCTGCAGCCCAATGGTATCAATGTGGATTTCACAAGCTTCAAAATCTCCTCTCCCCCTACCGCATCCCAAAACCAGTCCAGCTCGTCCCTGCCTCCCTAACCTGTTCTTCCTCCCACCTATCCCCTCCTTCCACCTCAAGCCGCACCTCCATCTCCTACCGACCAACCTCATCCTGCCCCCTTGACCTGTCCGTCCTCCCTGGACTGACCTATCCCCTTCCTAACTCCCCACCTACACTCACCTTTACTGGCTCCATCCCCGCCTCTTCGACCTGTTTGTTTCCTCTCCACCTATCCTCTCCTCTATCCATCTTCTATCCGCCTCCCACTCTCTCCCTATTTATTTCAGAACCCCCTTCTCCTCCCCCTTTTCTGATGAAGGGTCTAGGCCCGAAACGTCAGCCTTTCTGCTCCTATGACGCTGCTTGGCCTGCTGTGTTCATCCAGCCCTGCACCTTAATTTAAAATCAGTTCTCTTCCCTTACAAATATCTCTCTCGCTGTCCCAAATGAGCTCATATTTTAAAAGTAAACAATTTAACTAGGCTTTCATGAGTTAACAAAGAGTGAATTCATTCACTGCTAAATGTGAGAAGAATGTGATGCAACACAAATGCGCACTGATTAGAAATAAGTGTTCAGTCCATAACAATAAAAATTGTGAAAAGCAGACCATTCTCTGAATTGTTTGCAGTGGAGGTTGCCAGTAGAATTGATGTTGATAGTTGAACAGTTAATTAGTTTTGGAGATTGGTCGAGATTCTGTTGGTCTGATTCCTTTCAACTGTGACTGAATTCCAGCATTTAGGGTAAAAGAGAAAGTCCCTCTGTTTGTCCTATTTCCTTCTATCTGTCATTACCAATTAGCTGACTCCTAGCACTCAGAGTGAGAGAGTCCCTCAAGGGAGACTCTTCAACTGTTAGCTTCACAACATGCTAACACTCAAATCCAGGCTAAAACACTCAGATACCTCATAAAAACCAAAAGAATTGCAGATGCTGTAAAACAGGAACAAAAACAGAAGTTGCTGGAAAAGCTCAGCAGGTCTGGCAGCATTTGTAAAGAAAAAATTCAGAATTAATGTTTTGGGTCCAGTGACTCAGAAGTGATGGTAGCTGGGAAAAAGTTCGCTTATAATCAGAAAATAGAGAGGAGGATGGGGTAGGGAGTAAATGATAGGATAGAGCCCAAAGAGAGAGAGAGAAGAACAATTGGATAGACAAAGGAGTTGATAACAATCTGGCTAGGAGGGTGAATAGCTGTTAATGGGGACTGTTAGTGACTAACAATAGATTGTGCATAATGGCAGGCCATGTGATAACAAGGTCTGTTGTGTGGGGTAGGGGCTAAGACATGGGAGAGTTTAGGCCCTAAAATTATTGAATTCGACATTGAGTCCAGAGGGCGGCAGGGTCCCCAAGCGGAAAATAAGGTGCTATTCTTCTAGCTAATGTTGATCTTCGCTGGAACACTGCAGCAAGCCAGAGACAGAGATGTTGGCTAGGGAACGGGGGTGCGTTAAAGTGGCAGGCAACAGGTAGCTCAGGGTCTTTTTTGCGAGCAGAACGTAGATGTTCTGCGAAGCGGTCACCCAGTCTACACTTCGTTTCCCCAACGTAGACGAGACCACATTGTGAGCAGTGAATACAGTAGACTAGATTCTGGGAAGTGCAGGTGAAGAGACAACAAGGTGCAGGGCTCGATGAACACAGCAGGCCAAGCAGCATCATAGGAGCAGAAAGGCTAGCAGGCCAAGCAGCATCCACCTGGAAGATAGGTTTGGGTAC